CGACCAATAAAAAAAAAAAAAAACACATGAATGTCATAACAAGAAATCGTATTTATCTAATGAAGAACTTATGTCACTTACATCATCAAGAGCATCCCTTAGTGCCCTTACTTGTTCTGCTGAGGCTGTTCTTACCTGCAAAATTTGAATTAGCAGAAAGATAAAAGGTCAATTAAGGCTTATAATAATCCATAATTAATTGAAAACAATTCAAACAATATAGCTACATCAATTTTTTTTTCTTTGTAAAAATTTCAACCCAAAATCGAACATTTGAATTAAAATTGACTCACCGTTTTAAATATTGTCCAAGTGACATTCTCTGTGCATGGAGGAGTTGTAAGTGAGCCATAATATCTGTAATAATCTGCTTTGGCTGATAACCCGATGCTCCATGGATCAATTGCCCCCAAATTAGCTCCTTCAGTCCCTATTGATTTTAAGTAAGGTATAATCTGGGATTTCCAAATTATCAAAAAAAATACCATTATTAAGTGATATATAGTGGCATGAGAAAAATTAAGCAAGCTGTGAGCTCCAATCTGCTCGAGCTTGGTTCGGCTGGTTTACAGCTAAAGTACTATCTATTAGAGGCACCAAAAAGTTCCTAATTTCTATCAAAAAATAATATATATATATATATATATATAAAATTTACTATCCTTTAATTTAATTTTAAAATTAATGCATTTTCGTTACCTTTGAGAAGAAAAAATCAGGCTCTCCTATCTTGTACAGGATGCTAAGAACAGCTACATTTCCTGCAGAGGTGTTGTGAACTACATGCAGCTCTGTGTCAAACCTGACAATAAAGTACAATAAAATCAAAGTTTTTCATAAATTTTTTTATTGGAAATAGAAAACCTGTTTTAATACATAAATTTGCAACATATGTAAGCACAAGTGATCTCATTCTCACCAATTATTGAATGAAAAGACAAAGACAAAATATTAAAGCTTAACTTTTGTCCCATAAGATTTATATCAACAACTATCTTAACTTTTTGTTTTTGTCCCATCATTATTATTATTTGCAACATATATTAACTTATTAATGAGCAAATGCATATACTGACCTAACTCCATTTACTGTGTGCTCAGCAGGAATATGGCAATGGCATTGTAGTAATTTATGCTCACTTCCTTTTATTGTGATCCCACCGGCATCACCTGTCCATGCTAACTTAAAAAAAAGACCATTATTATAAAATTAGATTTAGAACCATTATTAAGAATATTAGTAGACAAATTCTTGTGTCAGGTCGTTCTAATCGTTAGACGGGTCGACTCATCATACTATGTGAACAAAAATGTATACTTATACTATCAAGTGTCATAACTCATACTTATGTTCATATTATTTCTTAAAGTATTACATTTTCTAATGAAAGTATGCATATTCATGAAAAAATAACTTGTCTGGACGTAATAATATACCACATCTCAGTAAGGTTGTTTGTTGTTGTTAGGTATATTTTTTCAACATATATATGTATACTTTTAAATTAAAATGTCATTCGCTAATAAACTTTATAAACGAAAGTACGATAAGTTATGGATTAAGTATGTATTTTTTATAAAAAAAAAAAAAAAAATGACAGTTCGACCTACCTAATGATTAGACAATCTCGCACGAGAATTTTTTGAAAAAATTTGACATGGTTACCTCAATCCACCTTCCCCTGTTTTTCAGTGTAGCTTGAGCTGGTTTGTGATTTATGTTCAAATCACCATGTGAAGAAGTATAAACCACTCGGGAGTCAACAATATTGACTGGGGACTGGCTTTTACCTGACCCACATAAATCCGAATTCCGGTTCAATTTGCCCCATTTGTGTGGCCCGTTTTCAGCTCCCAAGACATAGGAAAATGAAGATTCATATTCTGCAATTACAAATTACACAAAAAAGGAAAAACAAAATGTTAAAAAATGAGAACTATATCATCTGGTGAGATGAAGAAATATATATATACATAAAATATATTATCCATATTTTTTTTCCTTTTAGTTTTTTGGTTTAGATTAATCAAACAAATTCCGTCACATTAGTCTAGGTGCAAAATGAATGAACTCCAAATAAATTTTATTTACATTATAAATTATATAATGGCCGACACAACAAGATTATAGCGAGAAATTATATAATAATAGGTACAACACGGTACGACTCAAGTCTCGAAACACAATACAAGACGACAAAATAAAGAGTTTGATTTTATATATACTTATGATCAAATAAAATAGTAATAGAAAAATACGAAAGTGAAACACAAGATCGACACGATTCATCTGCCTCCAATACGACATAAATGATCCAAAATAAAGTAAAATTAAAAATCCATATCCAAAACGAAAGAATATTTTATTAACAAGGTAAAAAATTCAACACACTACTCAGTACTCACCAACTAATCTAGGATTTTCAATAAATAGTGCAAATAATCATAACAAAAGTTTGAAAAAAAAAATTAATAATAAAAAAATTATCAAATTATGTGTGTTCTCATATTTTTACCTGCTCCAAGTGCATTGGAATTCACAGTGAAAATCAGAGATGATAGAAGCAAACACCCAAGCAAAATATGAAGAAAACTGCTGTTTAGGCTCATGATGCCAATTTAGCTTTTATTATTATAATGGTGGATAGAAAAATTTGTTTTGTGATATGAAATTTGATCAAAATATATATAAAAATATATTAACATATAGTTATGTGAATATGTGGAATCACATTATCTATATCTATATCTATATAAAGAGTACCCACAATGCATTGGGTCTCTTAATAAAATATCATATGTCACATAAGAAATAGATCTAGTCTATAAAAAAATGTCTTCCAATGCAATTAAAAGTATATATGGTCTAGCTTATGTGGCAATAAAAAAAGAGACCAAGTCCACACTTGCGTCTATTCTAGACCCAAGTACAAACCCAAATACTCATCATTTATTTCTAATTTAATTTTTCTTTTAATAAAAGAAACATATTAGAGCATTTTTATTGGTTGGCATGTATGCTAGACCTAATATTTTATTTTTGCATTGAATAACTTTTAAGTTTTTTTACTTGAGTTTATCTATGTCATTTAGGACTTAAGTCTATTTATATGCCATAAGGATTAAAGTTCCTAAAAATACATACTTAATCCATAATATATCGTACTTTCGTCTAGAGCAATCTTTATTATTATAATTGACATGATTTTGAGCGAAAAAAATTTTCGTCTATATTTGACATTTAATTAATATTTATTTATTAGCAAATCTTATACATGAAAAACATAATTAATTTTTATATACTCATTGACTATTTCTCATTAACTACAAATTGACTTAAATAGAAATTTTGACCGTAGATTTATTAGATATATTTTCAATAAGATCTTATATTAATTGAATAGTAATTTATTGACACAATTCAAAAAATATTATGGAAATTAATTTGATTAAATATATTATTATCTATGGTTGTAGGTATTAATTTAATTAATTATATTCACTATTCAGAAGTACTTGAAATATTTAATAAAATAATCAGAATACCTATGTTTAAATCATAATAACTTAATAAATAATTTAAAATATTAATAATTTTTTTAAAATGTAGTCAATTTAACTGTAAAAAGGTACATCCCCATTAAATATATCATATGCAGTGATAATACTATTGAAAATTTAAATAATATACTAATAAAAATAAAATTTGATAGTCGGGTGCAATTCAGAATTATAAATTTCACATTAGAAGTATCTATGTACATTAAAAAACTATTCAATTTTAAAAATATATATTTTTTCTTATGTACTATTTTATAAATGAAAATTAAGTTAATAAAAAAGTAATGTATAATAATTTAAATTATAGCACTTGGTAATTATGGAAATATATAATATATCTAAACATTGAATAGATACTATGTAACTCATTATATAGGTTGAAAAAATGAATTACAAAAATAAATATAATTAAAAAATAGAAACATAAAAATAAAATATTTAACCATAAAAAAATTGTGTGTTGCATAAGGATTAAAATTTATTTATCAAAATTTTTAACATTTAATGCACTTAATAATTATAGCAAAGATAAATAGTATGGATTAAATGTTGGTCAATTATCAAGTACTGTGCAAATTATGAATTGTTAAAAGAATTATAAGACATGATAAACGACAATTTTATAAGTACATACAAGTAATTTGTATGTAAATATCATATGATCTTATACATTTATAATATTTTATAAACTTGTAAATAATAAAATTTACATATTAAATAGTCAAAAATCACAATATATATATATATATATAGAAATTAACAATAATTGTAAATAAATAAATGTCATATTATTACTGAATAGAATATTGTGTAGTATATAACTTCATATTAATTTTATCATATTTAAATATAAAATAATTTTTGTATTACATCTTGTACACCGCACGGTATTAACACTAGTATTTAGAAATTGTTTGATTTTTTGGCATGTGTTCGTTGTAAATTGGTAGTAACAATCTCTTTTGGCATAATTAAAAATTATTCTGTTTCTTGATTACAAGTGTTTGATCACCTAATTTTCATGATTTTTTTTTTTCTTTTGGGATTTGTTAGTTTAATTAATCACACATTATATTTAGAAATTGTTTGATTTTGTGGCATATGTTTGTGGTAAATTGCCAAATTGGTAGTAACAAACTAACTTTATTTGATGTATATAGAAGGTTGGCTCCACTATGGAGCCAACTGTTGGCTCCATAGCAAAACCGTAATTAGAATATATTCCGTTTCTTGATTATAATGGTTTGATCACCTAATTTTCATGAAATTTTTTTTTTTTTTGGGAGTTGTTAGTTTATTTAATCACATTCAGAATTATATAGATTCAATCATATATTCTCTGAAATCAATACTACATATAATATGTTTTATATAATCTATTCTAATATCTCGAACCGTGGTGTAATCATTTTTTTCCTTTAATTTGACAATATAAGTTTAATAGGTGATTATTGAAATATTTAAAAATTTACTAGTACTTTACTGTTATCACTAAATTCATAAGATACTAGATCTTGGTTGCAATATGAAATATAGTAGATGAAATTATATTTATTAACCAAATATTGTGAAATTGTTTAAAAAGGTATGTCGAAAATATTTATTAACCAAAAATTGTGAAATTGTTTAAAAAAGTTTGTCTTCTATTCGACACATTATATATATTCGACACATTATATATATATATATATATATATATATATTTTAAAGATCTTGACTATTTAATATATAAATTTTATTATTTTTAGATTTACAAAATATTGTAAATGCCATAGATTTTAAATATGATATTTGTATACAAATTACTTGTACAATCTTATAAATTATCTATTTTTTTTATCAAATAGTTTTTAACAATCCCTTAATTGCATATCGTTTGATAATTAATCAAAGTTTAGCTCATAAAGTTTATATTTCTTTCTTATAATTAAAGTGATTAAATTATTATTTTAAAATATTATCCATTTGATAATTAAGTTGTAAGTTTTAATAAATTTATTTGTTTATGCAGCACAAATTTTGTAAGGTGAGATTTTTTTCTTTTCTATGATCAGATTTTTTTGATTAGATTTAGTTCTTTAATTTTATTTCCAGCACATAATGAATTAATTAAAATATATTTTGAAATTTTGATATATATATATATATTATATTTCAATGACTAACATATTTTCAATTATGTCATCTTTTCTATATTTTATTTACTCATTTTCTTTATGACATAAAAAATAGGCCGAAATCCATAACATTATTAAGGTAAGAGGCTAGATTTTGACTAGATTTCAAATTCTACAAGCATTTATATATGGGGAAAAAATAGTTTCAAAATGCTGTTCTAATTTTTGTTTTATTCTATTGGATGATTAGCACGTGTATAATTGTGACGTCGATATATATATACATGCGAATCATTCAACAAAATGAAACAATAACTGAAACATCATTTTCTAACATGCATCTCATCCAATTCATATATCTTCAACTCTGATATAATATGAATTCTTAAAAATTTCAGTATTCTCAATATCAATTTCAGAAAGAAAGAAATAGTTGTCTAAAATAAATTTAATAAAAAAGAAAAAAAAAATAGAGATGTGCCCCCATGCAGGATCGAACTACAGACCTTCAGTTTACAAGACTGACGCTCTACCACTGAGCTATAGGGGCCATTTGATGTACTTATTTTGTGAAAAAATATTATTAAAGCTACAGTGGTTACCGGGAAACAATTTGAATTATGAGGAGACAGATGGATAGTGAATCTTATTAGGACCACTAACCTGTGAAGCAATGAACAACTCGGACACCAGGAATTATAACATTTTTTTTTTTTTTTTTTGGGATGACTTAAGGTTTTGTTAGGCTAAATTTAGGATTTTAGGGGCAAATACAGATCTATCTATTTGAGCTTGTCATTATTTATTTATTTATTTATTTTTATTGCTAGTGTGAAGTACACTGGTCCTAAGATTCTATGAAGATATAAATTTGGTAGGGATGGTTTTAGTGTTTTTGGTGTTCTGTGTTAGTGGTTATAGTGTTAATTATTGAATATAAATCATGACAATTATTAGTTTATAAGTTGCTTTCATTCTTATCAAAATAGTTAAAAAAGAATTACAAATTTTTATGATGCAGACAATGAACAATGTAAATTTTCTTTGATTTTTGTTCTAGCATGAAAGAATTACAATCTACTAAATAGCATAAAAAGGAATGCAAATTATGCAAGCATGTGTAAGGATTCTTTAACATAAGAAAAAGAAAAAATTGTATGCCCATCCACAATAGAAGGGAAATATTATTTTGTTACATTAATATGGTNAAAAAAGAACTTAATTTCAGTGATCCTCTGCCTCACAATTTCCTTTATCATTACAGCCATCAACAGATTTTTTTTCTCACAATCATCAAAATGTGTATACAATTAGCAAAAATCACCAAAAGGAGCACAAACATGTATACTATTTAGCTTAAAACTACCCATTAATAGTGGGTTGTGTAACTAAAACCAAACAACAAGAAGGAAAAAACAAAATGCAAATTTTCATCAATATTTCCAGATTTCAATCTGCATTCCCTTCTACACCAAAGCCTCATTTCTCGAGAGTTATAATCCTCGCAAAACGGAACATTATGCAGATTTTACGCATTGCTTTTTACGGTTTTACCACCGTGAATGTGAGTAACCGTAGGACCTTGACTCGTACCAATACCGCCTGTTACTGTTTCTTTCAGACGACGTGCTTGAACTCGTTTGTTTTCCGTACCAATTTCCTCTTTCGAATGACGAATTATAGGAAGTGGATGGATATCCCGAGTTGCTATTTCTGCTGCTTTCCTTGTATATGTTCCTTATTTCCTCTTCATTGTCATATTTTGCGCGCTGAAAAGAAGATTTTGAGCATGTGAGGGAGAGAGAGAGAGAGAGATAGAGAGGCTAAGAGAGACAGAGAGAGAGAGAGAGGCAGAGAGAGAGAGAGAGAGAGAGAGAGAGAGAGGCTAAAAAATGTACCTTAGAAGGATCCGAAAGAACAGCATAAGCTTCC